TATTTCTTCTGGAAGGGGTTCATCACTTGAAGCACCAGTCGAATTTGAAAAGTTCAAAATAATTCTTGATCTTCAAATCTTTATCTTGAGCGGCATTATCAGAGGTGTGTTCAAATTGTGATCCCGCCGTGCGAATAAAAGCACTGAATATAAAGATGATTTGTTGGTATTATGTAGGTTGTCTCGAAAGTTCGTGCGTATTTTTGGATCTCATGCCACAAGCTCCTTCAACAAATTCAAAATGTGTTCACGTAGGCTGTGGATAGGGCACACTGTGCAGTAGCTTATACCCGAATCCTGCCCACCATCGTCGCCTTCTTCGAGTTCAAAGTGGAAAGAGAAAAGAGCTATGTTTTTCGCGCTCTGACTTAAGCAGCTCTACTGAGCCACAAACCGATTGAAGCCTGAAGCGGCATCTGCATCGCGATACATCTCCTCGCCCTCACCAACAGTGAGGTATCAGAATAGCTGGATCTTCTCTGCCCAGGAGACTACAGCCGGTAGAAAAATCCACGTTCAGAGAGGCCATCAGTGTCGGATTTGGAGAATCTGTGCTCTCTCGTGGGAGTCACTCCACACGGGGCTACCTGCTTTGTGGCAACCACATCCTGGTGTTCCAGATGCACAATGCGTAGAGGTTCTCGCTCCTTCGTAGAATGGTTGAAGCCTCACCAAAGATTCCCTCATGAGTTGATCACTGATGACAGGAGTGCGGCACGAGTCCCGTCTACAATTTGTGTCCAGCTCCATCCGTACGCCCTGGTTGAACAAAGCTACTACTGCAGTTGAGAAGCTCAGGTTCCATGACAACCACACCTAGAATCTCCAGGGACTAGATCGGACAGAAGAGGGTGAAAAGTGAAGAAATTCACCACAAGGTCGTGCTCCACCTCTTTTGGAGCGTTATCGAGTAAGCCACTAGAGACATGTCAATCATTATAGATATGAATTCACTCAAGTGTAGGGAGATCAACGGCAGAGACTCACGGTGAAACCCCAACAAATGTCGTTAAAACTCGAAAAAGTGTGTACGCTCCACAACACCCGAGGCCACACATTTCGATAATGAAGCGATTCTGAATATCGAAGCCCAGCTGAAAAGGCCTACCACATTCATCGTGCAGCGGTAGTCATTCTCTTTCGAAAGACATCTGCCCTTTCTGCTCAGCCGCCTTCTTGACGACAAAAAATACGATTCCCATTAGCACCTCAAAATCGACCTCACTGCCTTTTTCAGCTCATAACTGCCAGCCCTTTGAGAGTTAAGTTGCCAATCTTTGGTTGGATGTTGGTAACAAGTCACTGATAGTGGTGGTACATATAATGATGATAGGTTGCACACGTGCTTGGAATAGTGCAGGCTCAAAAATAAGTTCAAAATACGCACGAACTTCTGAGACAACCTAAATACATACAGTCGGTATCCGAAAGTTGGGGTAGGCGTGTCACTGGAATTGATGTGCACTTGATAGAAGTTGCGCGGATAAGCTGTTGCCAGCATGCTTTGCTGATATCCAGCGAATCGCGCTGAAAATAATGACGGGTTTGCCCTACTGCAAGGAACACATTTTCCGTCGGCGAGCTTTCCCGCGGATAGTATGGTCCCCATTTTCGCCCACTTGTGGCAGGCCTTCATAGGCAAACTTTCTTGTATGAGTCCAGATTGCCAGCACTTTCTAACAAGAAAAGGTTTGCAAATTTAGAATGGATACGTATCCGAAAACTGCCGGTCAAGTTATTTTGATATGGGGAGTGAACAACTGGAAGGCTGCCTCCACGTAATCCTACTATATATAACTAGGGACCTGGTATAGTTCAGCTGAGTGCACGCTCAATTTTCGCTACTTTTATCAGTACAGTTGCCGCTCATACCACTTTCTGTCGCCCTATTTCAACCTCGCCACCTTAATCGCTTGCCAGTGATAATTATAACAAAGTTGGAGAGACCTGCATTCAGACGCTTCATATCATTGTCCTGGTCATTTGTTATCAGTTCATACTGCTCGCAATCGGTGTCCCCATCCCACCCTCCAGGCAACGTGCAGGAGCTAATATTTACTGTCACCACGAAGGCTACAACGAAATTAGCGGTACTCAAAATCCTAACTTCCTTATCAACCGTTATCGCTTGTTATCACTTCTGATCATCCACTATCCGTGTTCCCGTCCCATCCCCTATACCACATGTGAGAGCCAAGGTTCCAATGTAACCGCAAGGGCCGCAACGAAACTGGTGGTATCCACACTTTGACGCCCTTATCAGTTCTTATCAGTTGCTACCACATTCGTTCACTCAACTTCTTGGTCCCGCCTCATCCCACATATCATACATAAGTGCAAACTCTCCACTGTCAACGCGAACGGTGCAACGAAATTGGTGACATCAACATTTCGACGTCCGTTATCAGCTCCTATCAGTAGTTATCACTTCCCGCCACCCGTCATCAGTGTTCACCTCCGGCCCCCTATATATCCTAGAAGTTTGAGCGCTCTGGGTCCAAAGGGGGTGAAGTTATGAATTTCCGGTCAGACACACACACACACACACACAACCGCTTAGCCGATTATATATAGTAGATATAGATCGGCTAAGCGGTTGTGTGTGTGTGTGTGTGTGTGTGTATGTGTTTGTCTGTCTGACCGGAAATTCATAGCTCGGGCACCAGTGGTCGTCAGGAGTTGGTTTCAAGATATGATATAGGGGGTGGGACGGGAACATATTTGGTGGGGTACAGAAAGTGATAACAACTGATAAGGGCTGATAAAAGGCGCTAGAACGCAAGTGTCGCGAAATTCATAGTGCGCTTCGCAGCAGTCGTCAGGAGCTGATTTTGGGCATGATATAGGGGGTGGGACGGGAACATATTTGGTGGGGTAAAGAAAGTGATCACAACTGATAAGGGCTGATAAAAGGCGCTAGAACGCAAGTGTCGCGAAATTCATAGCTCGGGCACCAGTGGTCGTCAGGAGTTGGTTTCAAGATATGATATAGGGGGTGGGACGGGAACATATTTGGTGGGGTACAGAAAGTGATAAACTGATAAGGGCTGATAAAAGGCGCGCTAGAACGCAAGTGTCGCGAAATTCATAGTGCGCTTCGCAGCAGTCGTCAGGAGCTGATTTTGGGCATGATATAGGGGTGGGGACGGGAACATATTTGGTGGGGTCAAAAGTGATAACGACTGATGAGGACTGATATAACGACATGCGTACGAACGTAGAGAGCACTTGAAATAGAGAATAGAGAGCAGATTGTAGATAATGCCTTTTATTTCAATATCATTTCATCAGCGTTGTAATTGTAAACTCAAGCACCTTTCGACCGCTACTCCTTCTAGAGTTCTTGAGGATGAATGGGATGCTCGAATAAATATGATAATGAATACTAGGCATTCCGTTTTGAGATATTCGACCGCTAAATTACCTCGATACTCGACGCATAGTGGTTGTTTACATCATCACTTTAGCTGTGCACTTCACTGCGCTTATCAAACAGTGAGATACAGCCAAGATGGGCAGCCTATGCAACGGACAGTAATACATTTAACGAAGCAGCTATAATTTAGCGGTGAAACCTAAAGCTTCATCGATTGTCAGTTCTATCAATGCGCGCGGTAGCGGGCGGAGCTAAACTGGTACTAATATATGGGCAAAAGCGGTGTGTGCGTTGTCTGACCGGAAATTCATAACTTCACTCCCTTTGGACCCAGAGCGCTCAAACGGATATATAGCGGACCGAAGGAGAACACTGATGACGAGTGATAACTACTGATAGGAGCTGATAACGGACGTCGAAATGTTGATGTCACCAATTTCGTTTACGCCGTTCGCGTTGACGGTGGAGAGTTTGCACTCATGTATGATATGTGGGGTGAGGCGGGGACCAAGAAGTTGAGTGAACGAATGTGGTAGCAACTGATAAGAACTGATAAGGGGCGTCAAAGTGTGGATACCACCAGTTTCGTTGCGGCCCTCGCGGTGACATTGGAACCTTGGCTGTCACATGTGGTATAGGGGATGGGACGGGAACACGGATAGTGGGTGATCAAAAGCGATAACAACCGATAACGGTTGATAAGGAAGTTAGGATTTTGAGTACCGCTAATTTCGTTGTAGCCTTCGTGTGACAAAGTAAAATATTAGCTCCTACACGTCCCGTGGAAAATGGGCGCGGGACATCGATTGGCGGCAGTATGAATTGATAACGAATGACAAGGAATGATAAGAGCGTCTGAAGTGCAGTTCTCTCCAACTTCGTTGTAATTATCACTGGCAAGCGATCAAGTGGCGAGGGATGAATGTAGGTGACAGAAAGAGGTATGAAAGGCAACTGTACTGATAAAAATAGCGACAATTGAGTGTGCACTCGGTTAAACTAAACCAGATTCCTAGCACGGGAATATGTTCCATTTCCACCCTTTCATCTAAAAAAGCAAAGGAAGTTGAGCTGCTCCACTATCTGGACTTGGACTAATAGCGAATAAAATCATATTTCCAATTTCCATCATATCGGTTGATGCTGATTGATTGGTTTATTTCACTTACACACCGATTCTTCAATTGTGGAATTCTATAAACCGCTAAATCGCCCGAGCTCGATATCAATGCTAAATGTTTACGAAGTCATGATAAGTACCATTTTCATTCCGCATGCTACTGCGCGCATTACGCGACAATCTTCAGCAAAATTGGACAACCTTTGAACTTCATGTGACACATCTTCCAAACATCTTACTGTTAGTTTCTCAGCCACGTGACCTAATATTCTGCAAGTTGTCCAGTTTCACTAAAGCCCACCATGTGATGCGCGCGGTTGCGTGCGGAGCTAAACTGGTTTATAAACATTATAAGCGTTACATTGGTCAACATGTATCGTTGTAAATTATTGCCGACTTCTCTTATCCCCACATTAGCCAGTGAGAATAACTTTTCAGATTGAGTGTCCAGACCATCTCCTGCAATGTAGTACTTCATGATGCTGATAAATCATATTTCAGCATATGGGTGCTGGTGCTCTCGCCGATGCATACAAAAACTTTAGCCAGTTGGTAGTCTCCAGAATGAAGGAAGCTCCGTTCTACTGCACTGACGACTGTAAAGGAGATGAGTATTCCGCTGTAAGTCAATGTTTCAAAAAGCAGGGTATCTCCCCTCAAACGGAGAAGCTGCTTACGCTAGCGATTTTGTGAAGGAAAAACTATTATCAGGCGTCAGTTTATGCCGGCCAACTTCATGACGCCTTCTATACTTACGCCCGTGCATTGAATGTTACCCTGCAAGGGGATCCTGAAGCATATCGTAACGGATCGCAGATTCTCGACAACATCGTCATGTCCTTCCAAGGTGATTGGGTTTTTATGACCCATAATGATTTCTTTTTATAAAATCAGGAGCGACAAAATTGATGTATACGAACGAGATGTTAATTTCTCTTTCTCTCGCAAAATCAGACTATTTATTAATCGGTTTTCGTTTCATTGATTTCAATTCTTGTCTCAGACTGCTTTTGCTTTTCAGTAACCTTTTTTATTTCATGGAATCTGATCTGAAATAAGTTGAGTATAGCACTAGGATGTTCCTAGGGAGTATTGTCACTTTTTTTCGAGTGCAAATTTTTCTAATAAGGCACTCACTGGAGAGGTTTAAAGTTTTAACACATTGACGAGAGCGCGCGTTTTGGCTTTTTTGGCCGTGTGGGACCGGGCCGATTTTGCGAGTGCGACCGCCGCACCTCGGCATCCGTGAAGTTTGGAAAGCACCAGTGGTACACAATCATTTCAGAAATATCCAATTTAGAAGGTAATCGAGGATGCAGTGGCGAATGTCACATTCATGAGAATAGGATGAAAACGAGGAATGAACCGAGCTGCCAATTTCGCTGTGCTTAAAAACTTCTGCTAAACTGGAGCATATTTGACATACCGTGACCCATGTCGTTTACAATAATGTTATGTTCTAATCCATAGAAGAGAGACAAACAATTCGGGAAAAAGCTGCGCATGCCCTAGAAAAAGGGATGATAAGGGTGAGACGCGGTAACGCGTCTCAATGTCCAACGAGGTGCGCAAAGTGAGACGCGTTACCGCGTCTCAATGTCGTCAATGTGTTAACCTTGCAAAATGGGCGGTCTAATAGACGAAAATTAAGCAAATCGACAATTAGCTCCAACTCCATTTCTCCCGAGAAGCTCGTCGGGGAGAACGACCGAATGTCTTTTCAGACGACCAATGATCAGCCACGACGTTTTCTTGATATTTCGCCATAAGGTTCTCGAAACATCGGTCGCTTCTCTTTAAAATTTAAATCTTAAGTCAGAACTCCACGGTCTAGTGCACAAATCTAGACCCCAAAAAAATTTTACGGCCTAGGCGTTAAAAATAGTGGAGTCAAGAAGAAGACATGATTAGTTCGAGGTGTGTGCTGGATTGATTGCGTCATCTTCTAGTAAAGCATTTTTCCTTGAAATAATGTGATCGTGTACTGGACACCACATCACACAATACAAATTCAAACAAATTCATAACAAAAATCAAAACAAAGCATATTGAACAAAGCAGAAAGCATCCCCATTAACATTGTATCAATTTATATGATACTGTATTTCAAAGAAAAAATTTCAGATCAAAAACCGCAATGACTTAGTGGTCAACAGGAAAAAGCAAACTGGAAAAGAAAGATAACAAGCCTCTTTCGAGAACTCATTGGCCGATGTCAGACTTTGCGATTGGAGCGATTTTGCACCGATTTGCGGAACGGATCGCTTGAGCGATCCGTCGTTCGAGCGATCCGTCGCTCGGGCCGTGATGTGCCATTGGCCGTTGTGGCAGGGAGCGATCAATCGCTGCCACGCCCCTTCGATCAATACCCTTGACTGGGGAGTCGGCAATACATAACGTTTACATCTCCGCGGATTTAGATTAAACCGAGATTAAATCTAACAATTAACCACAAGCACAATTGTTCAAATACCGAAACTCACTTCCCTCTATTAGTCCATACATTGCATAGACCAGCAAGCAAAAAAATGTGTTGAAATATCAAAAACACGAAAGCAAAACAACAAATATGCTCAATCACGAGTAGTTACAAACGGCGTAGTAAACAGTGTTGGTCGTATACTATTCAATTAGCACAATAATGCCATCACGAAATCTTGAAATTGCAAGACCTGCGAGCTTTCAGTTTTGTCAGCTGTTGGTTGACCTTAACTGCTTACCATTTCATTTAGCTAACCGAATGACACACTAGCAGAGGGACACAACCACCGACCGACATACAGAACAGCAAACCGATACACCAAGTCAGCGCTTTATGTAACAGAAAGGGAGGAATTTAATGTGAAGAAGCCAATTTTCAAGCTTGCAAAATTGGAGATCCATTCAACAAAATTTACTGCAGCAGGCATCTTTATAAGGAAGAACTCAGTCAGTAATGTACTCTTTTCCGTGTACTCTTCTTCGCACATTTTTCAGAAATTTTGTGACCCCTCCCCCCTCCCCCTCACCCTCTTCAGGAGGATCTCGACCCACCACCACCACTACCATCAGTTTCAGAAGGCTCTCCCAATACGATCCCGACCGCCACCCTCACATGCTGACTCTGGGATTAGCTCCGAACACTTTTCATCCGAAATGACAACCGAGCGAGGGTAAAGCAAATTAGCATAATCATGACATCATGAAGCGACAAATCTACCTTTTGCCTCAGTCTCACTAATTTAGAAGGAGTTGATTCCTGTGCATCTGCTAGGCAAGTAAGGCGAGTCTGCGGCAAATCTTATCGTTAGAACAGAAATTCTTAGAGTGGCACGCTTGTATTTCTATAGTTCTTAGATTTCTGTAGTTTTTTCCTTCTGATAGATTATCAATGTCCCCTAACAAGAGAAAGAATTCCATAGGCTTTGGGCAATTTAGCAAGTTCTGGAAAAAAACTTGCTGATCTCTAATATAATTTTTTAAACTTTCTCAAGCGAAATTTTTTCTGAATATTATACGATAATCGCAAGAGTTCAAAAAGGCTGAAAAACTTTTCCTTTCCCAAACTGAAATTATAATTACATTTTTCGTACGTACCTTGCGCGTGCGCGGACGATGTGTCAAGTCGCGTCATACGACAGTCCTTAAAGGCAAACTCTCTTGAACTTTTGCTATCAGCGCTCTGTAGTGATAGCTTAGCTGCGGAACGACCTGAAAGTGGAAAGGAAAGCAAGAGAAATCTTTGGGAACGCTGAAATTAAGGCCTTAACCTTCAACAGGGTCGGATGTGGTACGATGGCGAAAGGGCGGTCAAAGAAGACAAAATACGCGAGAGAGCACGTCGTTTGAGAGAGCACGCTGATCTCTACATCAATGCACGCTGATCTCACCACCTCTCGCGGTGGGTGGGGAGCGTTCGATGGTTGCCGGCCCGTAAGGATTAGCGCCCTAACGCGCGATTTTCGCGACGAAGCTGGCGTGATCTTCTGGGTAGTTACAGACCTTACAATTTCCCACGTGGTATCCCTCCTTCTAGCCGGGCCATTTGCGGGGTTTGCCTTTAATGCTCCTCGCAAAGTCCGCACTTGCACTATCCGCGTTTGATTATCCCGCTAACGGCTGAGCCGTGGCCACGGTCGAAACTTTCCTTTCTAGAAGTAGGTGTTATGGTCTGACATTGCTTCACGCCTCTATAGATCGTTTTGATTACAATTTCGTTAATGAGAATGGTGAGATGTTCGGGAAATTCCTGTTTTTGATATTATTTACTACTGCGTTTCTATTACAACAGGTAATGCCATTTGTTTCCGCTGCTTCTCATTCTTTTCTTCTAAAGGCACTTGCTCACGATTAGGCGCGCTTGTTTCCATCCAGGGGTAGTAGGCGGCGGAAGTTGTTGTTGTTGTCGCACCCTTTCGCCGCTTGAAAGTGCGTTTTCATAATTTTAGGCCAAGCAGCTTCGGTCCAAGGCTGCAACTCACCCCTTTGTCCGCAAGCCCCACCCTTCGTGCTGTCGGTGTTGCCACGTGGCGCTGCTTGAAAAGCGCGGGCGCATTTGAGGCAGCGGTCCCACCGCGATCCTGTGTCAATGGCACTGGAGCAACTAGAGTCAGGCTCGCGAAACTCGTCCAACGCGCCTTTTCTCTATCCCAAGGTGGAATGTTGCTGAAATAGGGGAGGTTTCTGTACGGGGCGTGAATCTGTGATTTCGTTTTTGACTTTGATTCTCTTTTTATAGTCCAATCCACTCTAGTGTTATGAACTTATACGCTTTTGGACTTTTTTATCGTGTTTTTTATCCGAATCTTTGCCTTTAAAGCAGAGGATGGAACATGCGACTGTTGCCACAAAAGTGTTTATGAATGTTCAATTCGTCAAAAGTGGAAATGTTGTAGGAAGTTTCAGTCCTTTTGAACTTCTGTTGATTGTATGTATGATTTTCTAAAAATTTCGGTTGAAAAGCTCAAAAGTGTATTGAGAATGAGGCGACGGCTTTTTTTAACTGTTCTAAATTGCCCAAGAGCCTCTGGAATTGCTTGATTGCTTGTTAGTTGTGGGACAATTTTATATCTATTGCAGGAGAAATAACAGAAAGCTAACAGAGTTTGTGGGAAATGACAAGAGTGCGCGTCTAGAACTGTTTTAACGTTAGGATTTGCCGCAGACTCGCCTGTCATTGGCCAGGATGCACAGTTTTGGATACCGAGTATTACCAATTGACTCGGGCGTTCTCTCGCGGCGTACCTTCGGTTTCAAGTGTGTTCGCTTAATTTTCGGCACGTTGATGAGATCTATGGGAGGTTGGAGCACACCAGAGGTACGGCTCGAGCATGCGAGGGTCAGGGTGTTGCAAGTTTTCTCTTAGTTAGAATTTAGGTGAGATAATGTAATATCGTCGAAGAACGAGAGGTCCGATGCCCAGCTGACAATGACGTGTTTCGGTATCTTATTTAGTACCAGGTGCTGTGGGAATATTTGGCGAAGATAGGCATTTTGTATAAGATAAGGTGAAGGTAGGATCCCTACCCGTGGTCAATAAGTGCGCCGTTTGAAACTGATGCAAAATCGATGCCAAAGACGGTTGAATCTGATTCTACCGAATACATCAATCCACGCCTTTGCGATAGCTTCATGGACGAGCTAAGTAGGCTCATGTGGCCGCGAGATCCCTCCCATTCATATTTGCTGAGTGGGACTATGGATTTCGTGTTGATAATGGATATGGACTTTCCGCTTATTCTGAAGATATTGGATATTGAGCTCTGGAGGGTGGAATGGAACGTTAAGGTGCTTCATTTCCGCTTTCGTCATTGATGTGTTGATTTGTGTGGTCTACCTGTGTCTGGTCTCATTTTTTTACATTGCGAGCGTTCTACAAATCGGGTTTGAGATTTCTTTCGCTTCTCAAT